TTCTAAAAAGACTGTCCTCTTAAATTTCGACAGACACTGAAACACTTTCACTGCCATTGCAGAAATAATTAAATTCTTGTATGTTAAAGTCAATAAAATATAGCTCATTTTATGCAGAGACATTGATTTTAGATGTACAACGCTAGTGGGAAATTATTTTACCCTCTAGTGACAATGTCTCTTTTATTTTATTACCTTGTCATAACTATATTAATGATTAATCTATGAAAGCTCGTTGCATGCAAAGTTACATAACGTTTGAAGTATTCATTTAAAAGTCTCTGTGAAATAAACCTGCACAGTAGATGTAGTTCTGCTATAGTGATAAATACAGAAAACAATTCACTTTTCCAGTTTCAACTTTAACACAATCTACCGTTCCTGCACCTTTGTCTACACAACCGTCAACATTGATGTCAGTTTCACTTCCTTTAGAATCAACATCTACAGCACCAAACACCGTGGACCTTACAACTGAAGCCGTGTTAACAACCTCTACATTACCCGTATGTCCATCGCAGTATATACTGAGCGGAAATAAAAAGTTATGTATTTCTCTTGTGCAGACCAAAATGTCACGTAACGATGCCAAAACAGAGTGCGGAACAACGACCAACAGCGTATTACTATTGATTGATTCAGCTGAAACACAAAGTACTGTTGAAACTTTCCTGACGCAACATTTTGGCTCAGGTTGGTTTCTACTCTTATTGAAGAGATGCCCTTGTCCACTTTAATTCAAGAACGGACAAATTAAAAATGAAGTATTTTCTCTTCTTGCAGATACAGTAACATGTATTTATGCGACATTGTGATCCTCCTCCCCTCGAACTTTTTTCAAATAATAATCGCCCCCTATGTATATTTCTCCACATTAGAATTATTTTCTGCTTGTGTGTGTAAAATAAAATTGTTTTACATGATATCAAAACATTATATCGATTTTAATTGCAGGATTGTCGGAGAATGAATTGTGGATAGATGGAACATATCAGAATTCACAGTGGTCATCATCTTTCGGTGTATTAACATATACAAACTGGGAAAAGTCCAGAAAGGGAAGGGAAGATTGTATTCTATTTAAGATGAAAAGTGGCAAGTGGAAGCCCTCTAAATGTAATCGTGATAAATTTTTCTTATGTCAGATACAGATTTCATAGATTTCGCATATCACATGAGTAGAATGGAAGTCTAAGATACATCAGATAAGTGCTCTATGCAAAAGGATTTTATACATTATTACTGTTATGTTGAAGCATTCTAATAAAATATATTTCATGTTTTCGATTTTCGTTCCTAGAATCACATAGAATCAATGTACAAACAACTGCCTACTCGGTACTTTATCGCCTGTTTGGTATTCAAAATAAAATCATTGCTGATTCTAGTCGAGACAAAATGTCAATTGCCTCATTAAAATAAAGGATCCAATCAACTGTAGATTCAATTTACAAATAGAGGGATCAGGAAGAGAGTGATAATATCAACACGTGAAAAATCTATCTACGCAGTCACTGTAGCTTTGTTAAGTAACCCTTGACCATGTGCACTTCAAAACAAATTGTGATATCATATCATCTCACTTGGAGCTCTAGGGACGTTTAGTCCTCCATGACTCCCGACCCAATCTCTGATGTTTTCGAGGTCCGTGTTTGCTCTGTTACCGATTCGCTTTGTTTCAAAGACATTTGAACTTGATTACAGTTCGTTATTTCTATATTTCATTGAAGAAACTGGTACCATGATGTTTTCCTAAGATATAATGCGTGGGCAGCGTCCGTTCATCAGTCTGTTCTGTACAAAAGTTATTAATATTCAGAATAAAACATGGAGATAACAAACAGTTTTCAAGATCAAAAGTCTAGAAAAAACAATACAAAATAGGAGTATAGCAAACACGGACCTCCAAAACATCAGCGGTGAGATCAGGTGCCATGGAGGAGTGAGCATCTCCTGCCGACCGGTGTAAAGACGAATAATGACCCCCATCGAATAATGACCGGGGGGTCATTTTTCAACGACAAAAAATGACCCCCACCCGTAGAAAAAAATCATTTTTTTTAGAAAAAGGGTCCTAGGGGGTCATTATTTTATATGTTAGTCCTATAAAATAATGACCCCCATTGAAAAATGACCCCCTTTAAAGTGATACAAAATATACACTCTTTGATATCTTTTTTACAGCGAAACTAATTTTTACATTTTCTGTAACCAGAAAAATACAAAATGTCGCATGAAATAATATACAGTTATTGACTGGGTATGAGGGCAACATATGATTTGTTGGACCTGAAGGTGAAAATGTTGCCCGAGGCCGCAGGCCAAGGGCAACATTTTCATCTTCAGGTCCAACAAATCATATGTTGCCCGAATCCCAGTCTATAACTGATTTGTTATACCCTTCACTGCTCACTTAAGATTGATCAATTTTATCAATACACGCTATACTATCAATTATTTTATATGGAAAATTATGGCTTCTTCAGTAAATATAAAACATCAAGCTGAGAAAGAACAAAATCAATTATATTTTTATCATATCACAAAAATTATTTATCACAAAACATACTCTTCCCTTCTTCCTTACCTTGCTGTTAGCAACAACTCTTAATAGCTCTTAACTTCGGCTATTTTCGCGTCGCCAATATTGAACGATGATTATTAATTGTGACGTAACAGACAAGTGACGTTGCGGTCTAACAATTCTTATGTAAGACCGGTCAATAGTGAAATTGTTAGACCGACGTAATAAACATTTCTATTGTTGGACTTTTTATTAGTAATAAATATATAGAAGGATATTTATAAGGGTATAACAATTAAGAGATTCACGTAGTCTTTCAATGCTAAAATTGTGTTTGAAAAGAGATTCTTTAATTGTCAAGTAAATAAAATTTCTTTTTAATATTCCTCCTTATAATGTTTGCTTAAAATGATATTCCACTTGTTTTTAGAAATCAAACCATGCAAAAATCAGGTTTAAATACTCTTTAATAGGAAAAATTAAATTTTCCGTCATTTCAACTTTTAGTTTGTTTAAGTTTGGCAAATCCTATTTGACAATGAAAGAGGTGGAAATTTTTATCCCCCCCCAAAAAAAAAAAGAACATTACGTTAAATCAAAACAAAAAAAATAATAATAAATGAAAAGCAAAAATATAAATAAAACTCTATACCTTTCAATAATTCTGAAAGAGGCTCTAGATAAAATATTGAAATGAAGTTAAGCCTTCACACAAGTACTATCATGTCATAATTTACTTCGCCATGATTAAAGCATACTTTAAATGTTGGTGGAGGTATACTTGAAAGTATTGTGGCAAAGTAACAGTTAAAAATTAGTAGAATAGTAGATTATTTTAAGCTTATTTTTGATTCCTTCTTATAGAAAAATAAAGGTAGGGTGGTTTTTTTTGCTTTTGTTCAATATCGACTTCCTCCTAAATAAGAAAGGGGGTGGGGTAAGTATAAGACCTAAAAATATGCTCTGTAAAGCTATGGGCTAGTGTAAAATACACAATCATTCTAATGCAAAAACTATACATGTAGACATAAACTTTTGATTTAGCACACAGTATTCATTACATTTCTTTTAACGTAGAACCTACTTCGTATGACATCATAACTGGTAAATGTGTTTAACCTGTGCTAACCCATTAAGACGTCATAATTAATTCAATGCCACTTTTTCCCGTACTTGACAGTTTCAATAAAAATGGTAGAAAATACTGCATTTTGAAATTCACAGAATTCAATCATGCCAACATAATCTTAATTCAATTCATATATTTTTTGGTTTATAATGCTTAATGGCAATATATTTCTGGAATAAGAGAAAATATGTAGGCACCTTTTATTTACTAGATCTAGACCTGAAGTTGACAAACCCAAGACTATCTAGTGTAATGAAATTACAATGTACATACAACTTTCGTAATAATTTGAATGGTATGTAACCATTTTGAAGGAATGCATAAATCGTAAGAAATCTTTAGTGGCCAGCTATATAGTGTAATATCTTGATGAAATGTGTCTAAGTCAAAGATGTACGTGTTGTAGATCGTTTGATCGTGTGTACATTTTTGTGATATCTATAATGAAAGGCTAGAGCACGGTGTTGGTACACATTGACGTTACGTCAAAATAACGTTAAAATGTCATAACGTTGTTATAACGTTTTGAACCTTATACATGCATATTTTAGATCTTTAAACAAATTTTATTTTTCAAAAGTATAAAAAAATAAAAATAAATAAAAGGGCACATAATGTTCAATGTTTGAACCTTCTTTTTTGAAATATTTAGATGTTTATTAATAAATCTTAATAATAAAATTTTAATTAATGAAATGCCAAATGCACTCAGTGAATATTCCTCTTTCTATTTTTCTCACTTGTCTGTTCTTATAAGGAGAAAATATATAAGTAGTATTCCCTTTCAACCTCCTTCAATATTTTTTTTTCAGTTATGTCATTACAAGTCTTTCATTTGTACATGTATATAGCGTCCGCATGCGCTTTGGGTGTACAGAGAAAAAATGAGAGTTAAAATTCTTTATACTTCCTACGTTTCAATGGAACTGATGTCATTTTGAATTTTAAAAAAATAAGTATTAATTTAGTATATTGAGGGGATGAAAAAAGGAGGGCTGGAGAGGTTTCACCATTATTGAAAATCTGGTTTATCACGAAAATTCTAAAATCTTTTTTTTTTTTACTATTTTTGGTGAAAGAAGGGGGGGGGGGGGCTCTTATAATGCATACTTCGTTTAGTGGGGTACTTTTTGTGGGACGATAATCATTTTGGGGTTTTCATAATTTTTTCCTTGGTGCTTGTATACATGATGATTAAGTGTAATAAATATAATTTGTGAAAAAATCTCCAACAAGCTCCGGGGTTCAATATCGGAGCTGGGGTGGGTTGGGGGGTTCCTGCATGTCCACAAGTACCTGTGAGCTGATACTACGGACCTGCATGAAAAAACCCACATAATAATAATTTGATAATAATAATAATAACATGATAATAATTTGACGCTTCCGGCGTCATATGTACGCATTGCGTAAAATGACGTTTTTCGTACCTGTGACAAAATGGCTACACTTTTATTGATGCTTGCATTTATTTCATGTAGACCATTACTGTAAAGATTGCGTAATTAGTAAATGCAGCATTAAATGTTCTTTCAAGCTACATATATGATTGCTTTATATCTTACATTAATTTATATATTTTTGATATGTCACTGAGACATATCTAGTAACAATACAATGACTCGTGCGCGCATAACAAAACGGCTACACTTAAGAAAGCCTTCCTAATATTTACGTTGGAAAAGTAATATAAAATGTATCAATTCAATTAATCTAAGAAATATATGTACTAAGAGATTATTCACCAAAATTAATATTTGTTTGGGATTTATGTCTGGTACACATCTCCATTTCGGCTAATGTCACTGTAAGGAAACGATTTCTTACTGTTAGACATTTTACTTACGCACTGTAGATCAAGTCTAAATTCATGAAATTGATACCCGCTAAATTTCATTTATTTCAGAGAATTGTAAGTGTATTTTTTCATACCTTTTAGTCGCGCGAACAATAATTGATGTAACGTCGGACACGGGAATTTAGCCGCAAATGACCAATACTGAGGAACGCCTCATCATAGTTAAGATAATTTTAAATTATTCAAAAGAAAATTTTAAGGATTATCAATTACTTTAGATAACATAAATGATTTTATTTTAATTTAAAGTAAATATGACTTCGCGAAACCGCCAATTTCTTTGCGACATAAATAGTAAGATATTACAGTACCAACACCGTGCGCAACGCTGAAATGATGTGCATTCCTTTTAACAATTATTTGTTACCTATTCATATTCTTGGTGTTTGATTACAATTTTTCTATTAAATATGATCTTTTTAAAGTAAAAGTACAATTTCTGATAAATATTTAATCTGAAAGTAACCCCAAACAGTCATTTAATTATTAAATCCCGTGTAAGTGCAAAAAGGTCAAGAATATGAGTTTCGGTAAAATAGCCTATCTTTCATTAGTTAGAGGAGAAAGGTATATATTTTAATCACTTTTTGTAATCATTTGGCTATGTTCTTCATCATATTGAAGATTGA